CGCCATTTTGTTTTAGAACAATGATGGTTCAATTCCATCCGACAACATCGACAACACTCCTGAACAGAACACCAACATCGACCCTCCACCGGGTCTTCCACAGCAGCCTGGCAACAATCAAAACGATGACAACAATCCTGAACCAATCACCACAACCACCAGATGTTCCTATGCCAGATGATCCTCACACGCCGAATCCCGGCTTACCACCTGATGATGATGATCCATTCCATTTCACAAGCCATTTCAATCACCACCAAGACCGAGTGATGACTCACCAGATGAGGAAATGCACTCACCACAAGATGAACCTCCAGATTTACCACCATATCCATCATCACCACCAGATCATCCACAACCGTTTCCCGGAGCCCATGCCATACCTGTTGCACCAGACACGATTATCCCACCAAACATTGATGATACACCTACGACACACAGTACCAAAAGACCACCTGATGATCCACCAATACCACCTGCGACAAATGCTCGTCTTCAACCCAGTTTCATGCTAGCAACCATTTGGGGGGTGATACACAGCCATCAGTCACACCAAATGCGACCACACAACCTGCTGTAGTTGCTCCAAATGTTTCTAATGCCAAGAAACCTCCCAAACAACCGAAGGATGTAGCTGTACCTGATGACTTTGATGATGACGAGCCTGATCCGGATGTAGGTCCATCAGGACATCATGGTCCACCGGTACTTCCGCTAGACGGAGATGAACCTTTCAATCCAACACCTATGCCAGAGGATGATCCACAACCGGACACACAAGATCGACAAGAGCAAGAAGAAGAAGAAGAAGAAGAAGAAGAAGAGCCAGAAGAAGATACAGATGAGACTATACCATATGGCTCTACTGACACCGATGAGACTCTTGATTATAACGATCTTGTTATAGATGATTCTCAATGGAGCTTCCTTACACAGGAACAGAAGATTTGTAGTAAGACTGCATCATTCTCTGTGCCCAGATTGATTGACGGTTCACCCGTAGCATTGACAAATGTTGAATCCTTGAATGCGGTTAGAATGTCATATTCCGTCATCACGGAGAAACAAGCACAGGATGCCGTAAGACTCGATCTGAAATCATTGAAAAATAGCATGGCATAAATGAAGAGGACAAAGCATTCATGACTTTGTACTCTATGACTGACAAGTTTGCATGCCTGGTTGGCAAGAAACGCAAGGAAGCAACACAACAAGAGAAGAGACAACTTGCAAAACAGTTCCTTGAAGCCAAGAAGGCTGAATGCCAATCATGGACTGATAATGAAGTTTTTGATCTTGTAGACATGAGAAAGACGAAAGCCCGAAACTTTGTAGCTGGTAGATGGGTCCTTACTGTGAAGAAAGACAAAGATGGTAACTTTCAAAAGTGTAAGGCCAGATGGGTCCTTAAGGGCTTTCAAGATAAGCAGAAGAACACACAGCAGACGGATAGCCCAGCAGCATCAAGAGCAGGCTTCCGATGTGCAACCCAATTAGCCGCTAATCACGGCTGGGACCTTTATCACATGAATCTCAAGACCGCGTTTCTCCAAGGTGAAGCCTATGATGAATCCCGTGACATTATCTGTCAGATTCCGCCAGAATATGGATATCCTCCTTACATTGGTGCCAGGCTTAAGAAACCTGGTTATGGTCTGAATGATGCCCCACGTAGATGGTGGCAGATCATTGATAAAGCCTTACTTGACTGTGGACTCATCCCAGCACGCGCAGACCGATGTACTTTATGATGATTCATCCAAGACTAAGACCTATCAACCACCTCGCACTGTCACTACTGAACAGGTAAGTATCATATCGATTTTTTTACAGAAACTTACATCAAATCACTGTGGTTAAAATGGCAGTTCACCCCCTTGGTAAAGCAGAACATCTCTTGTATGTGCTTGTTTCACCTTTTTTTTGGATTTCACGGATTTTGAGGAACAACAAACAACACAGATCACTTTTTTTACACATCGGCGTAAGATATCTTGAAATATTGTCCTATGTATAACTCACTTGAAACAACATATTTTTCTCTAATCATCGCTGGGTTTTGCTCTTCAATCTTCTTACATGTTGTGGGAGTGTCTTTTTCATTGTGTACAGCTACTGGTTTCCTTTTTTGAGTGAGGATTGCAAGTAAGGTGCGGTGTTTAAATTTACAATTATTACACACCAAAAAAAGAAACATGATAGATTTGTTTGTCAGTCGCCAGTTGCCTATATTTCAGATTGCATAGAATTTGGTGAGATGAGTTGCTCTTCCCATGGCTCTTTTTTTCATTCATCCTCATGGATAATGACGGCATCACTTAGGCTTAACAACAATATGATGTCTATAATTCATAGTTGACAAACATTCAAAGCCCACGTTTGATGATATATCTTCGAATTCCCTTGATTCTAACATTTATCCAACACCAGGTTTCAGAGTCAACAAAAAATGGGAATCATTTTTGCTAGCCCCTTTGATGCAGTGTTATTTGCTCAATACTTTGACAGTGTTAGTTTGCAGACTGATTGAATCAATGATGATTAATTGGGCTCAAGGTATTTTGCACACCCAACGCTTTCGTTCTCGGCCCTTTGAGCGATGGAGAACGCTTTCGGCTGGCAGGCGAGGGAAAGAAGCATACCTGACAACACATGACATGACATGACATGACATGACATGACATGACATTACACACACATATATATATATACCTGGATCTTCGAAAGGACACAAATGATTGTCCGTTTGCAAGATTTCTGCCCTTAGGGCGGATTTCTTGTAAAGGAGCTGGAAATGGTCATTTTTTGACTACTGTGGCCAAATTTTGGATTTCGTACCTTTTGGGCTGATATTACTCTACTTTGCGTAAAAATGTGTCGATTTTTCTGGGCGGAAATTCCCGGGAAAAGGTCGGAAATACCCGGGCAGATTCATCATGACTCAAAAATGAAAACATGAAGTGGTAAGTTTTTTTCTTGAAATTGTAGTTTTTATTTTGACGTGGACAAATCTACAGAAAATGGACAGAAATCAAACCAAAATCTGCCCTGGAAAGAAATTTGTAACCAATGAATATCCAGGTATATCATTATTGATTGGGGATTATGTTAATAGGTTTTAATGATCCAATAAGGGGAATCCAATTTTTGGGTGTTGCTATCCATATTCCATGATGTTATATAATTGTTATATTGTTGCTATCCATTTTCTGGTTGTTGCTACCCCCTGGAAATTAGCACAGCTTTTGAACATGGTCATTTACAATTGATTTCCCTATAAACATGGTGATTTTCCATAGTTAGGTAAACGTTTACCAGCGGGTATCCATATTCCATCATGCTCATTGTTGCTATCGATGGTTCTCAGATGATGGTTTGGTCATCAGGACCATGGGGGATTTACTAACATTTAAATAACCATGGAAAAATGGTGACATGTTTTTTTTTGGATGTTTTATGTGATATGGAAGCAACATGAAGCAACACTATGCTATGGATTTGTCCAATGTTGGCAGGGATTTCACAAGCAAAAAGATTCAAAGGTCAAATATTAGGATTTCACCAATGAATGATGGTATGGAACCGGGATATGATTTGGGAATATCTGGGACATCAATGACGAGGATATCATGCGGATATGATGCGATGTGTAATATGGTGGTTGGTCCTTCAAACCACACGGAATTGAATATTTTTTGTATCGTCATGAAAAAATGATGAAAATGATTTTCTGGAATATTCAATATATCCCAGATCTTAACATCCCATTAATATCCCATTCGATTGGACAAACGAATATGAGATGTTTGTCCTCACAGGTGGAGTTCACCAACCTACTGGGAATTTATTGGTGACATTTGGGTTTCACCAATGAATCGTAAAAACATGGGCGATGGGCCATCATTTTAAGGAACATGGAGTGATTTTCGAAGCTTTCGGATTTTTGGGATGTGCGGATATTCAGACAAGTCCACCAGGAAAATTTGAGCAATTGGATAAGTACTCATCAGCCATACCCTGTCAATCATCATTTCTGATTTGTGAAGTTGGACCAAAAAAAAATATGGGGATGGGTCAAAACCCATGATTAATTACCATATTTTGGGGACTAAACATCGATAAACCAGTATTTTAAGATACCTAGGGTACCGGGGTTTGAAACGGTTTGCAATATCAGCCAAACATCGGGTGATTTTGCCGGATCTAATTGAGATCAACCAATATGGGGACCAATTTTTTCGAGAGTCAGCCTGGTTTCAGCCTTCTTTCACCATAGAACTGCTATAGGTGTTATATATATAGATATATTCATATACTTTTCAGGCATTAAGTACTACGGTCAATTAAACAGAAGAGAAAGATCCCGCGCTTTGTTTCAAGGATCACACCATGGGTGAAACAATTTCCTCAATCACTGGGGTGAAAGTGTTCTTGTTTTGAAGACGGATTTCATCGTGTGAAATACCAACTGAGAACTGGAACAATGCCCCTTTGGTCCTTAGGGTGTGGTGGATGGGGCAGAAGCTGCAACCCCAAACGCAATTGTGTATCGGAAGATACACCTAATATTATACTATTCAAGAAAAACTCTGAAGATCAGGATTGGTGTAGTACATCATAGCTTATTCAACTCTTGGATGATGAACATGTTGTTTCGGTGAGGTGGGTGGTGTCTCAGTCATTCAGGACTTTCTTGACAAATTCTAGCGACGGCAAACGACCTTAAACCAATGATGATACTTTGCAAGGGGCATTACCCAAACTAAGCATTGAAAAGTTACGTTTGGGAATGTTTGGGATCTATTGTAAATCATCCGAATTCATTGTTTGCAATTTTCCCCAATCACAGGAACAGTTTGGGGAATCAGTTGAAAGTTTGCGCAGAACCTAAATATTTGGAGGTAAAACCCATGGCGGTCGATTTTGCCTTAAACATCCGAGAAACAACTCCGTGACCGCCAGTGACTCAATGAAGATATTGAGAAATATTGAGAACTGAGGTTTGAAAAGTGCAACTGCCTTCAAGGTGTCCAATTTACACACGCGGCCTGCGGAGGAACTGGGACAGGACTCACAGGCCTTGTGCTGAAGACCTTGCGCGACTACTTAGACAAACAGAGCAAATGTGTGCCTTGGTCCATCTGCAGATGTTTCTGGATTCCTGGATGGTTGTTTAAAGATGTTTCAACCATTGGCATCCAACAAAATGCCATCACAACCCCAGAAAAATTATGGGCAAAATGATGATCAATATGTTTCTGTTTGGGCTCAGCAGAGAAGGTGTTCCCGTTTTTCAGTGATGAATTTCTCCATGACTTTGTCAGGCTTTCCATAACCAACCAGCCAGTAATTCCAAGCTTAGGACAACATGTGGATTGAGTGTTGCCAATTATCATCTCGTCGTATCAACTATTGACCGTTTTAACAGTTGGTATATTACATAGTTGTATCATAGTTGTAAAATATGATTCCTTATGAGTATTATAGTTATATTATACTATGGTATGTATTTCATAATACCTATGGTATTATACTGTACTTATTCTTTAGATGATTTGTGGCATCAAACAGCCTGCTTGCTCCGGTGCTCCGGTCAGTGGCTGATTCAGTGAGGTGATGCAATCCTTTGTGTTGGCTCCAGCGCCCGGCATGTCGGAAGTGGTCTTGGAGCCCTACAACTCAGCTCTGTGCTTTCAAGATTTGCTGGAATATACCGATCAGGTGCAACAAATTCAAAAAATGAAACTTTTAGAACAGCATCCGATTCATGTTTGTAGAAATGTATAAGTAGAAATCGCTGCATTCTTTTTTTTGCATGTAATCCCATAGGTTGCTTGGATTGTGAAACTGCATGCTTGATGAGCTTTGCCACGACCAATGGGTGAGTACCAGGCCATGTTCATTGATCAAGTGCACCATACCTTGCAAAAGAAAGGCACAACCTATTCTTCCTAGAAGTATTTCGGACTTCGGTTCGGGAAAAAGATGTTGTTCCTGTTGATCCTTGAACACATAACATGCTAATTATTCAGTATGAAACTGTGAAAGCATCGTTCCATTTATATCCATTTGTCGGCATTTGGAACAGGCTGAGAGCACCGGCATGTTCACCACTTCACTGAAGAACAGAAATTCGGGACCACTGTTCCATCACCACAATAGGCCTTTTATCCACTCATGAGCCGTTCTAACCCTACTGAAAGACATGCACTTCTGGGTAGCCTCTCTACTGGTTCCAGTCCCACTTATCGACTTTCACCTGGTGAGTCGGATCAATCCCAGTTGGCGACCGCTGAGCCGACTGGTGAACTGGTGAACAAACAGCACCGGGGGATTCCCAGTTGGTATCTGAAAACAGTAACCCCAGTTATTAGACCAGAAATCAAAGAAATGCTATGGTAACTGGGATCGCTTCTAACATTTCTAAGCATTTTTAATGCCTCCAAGTATTGGCCTGTCTTATCAAACGAGATCTGAAGCAGGTCTTCCTGTTCGACAACCGAGCTCTCACTGAAGTCTGTCAAAAGGCTTTGGAGCAAGACATGCCCCGGATGACTGACCTGAATCAGGCCTGAACTGATGCATTGAGGATAGACATGGATAGACGCACTGACTGCACCGATATAGACTTGGATGTGCATCTCAACCGTAGTAAGAACTGTGGATACTCTCTAGATTATGCATCTATTTCTAGATTAATCTATGTATCTATTTGTATATTTGTGTGTAAGTCTGCCTGCCTGACTCTCTGTTTGTTTGTTTGCTTGCTTGCTTGCTTGCTTGCTTGCGTGCTTGCTTTGTTTCTTTCTTTCTTTGTTTGTTTGTTTGTCATCTGGTCTGTTTGTCTCTTTGTTTGTTTGTCTACAGTACATATCTGTCTACTGTACGTAGCTGTCTATATGTCTCTCTATATACATATTGTGTATCTCTAAATTATATATATATATACATAAATACGATTGAATCTGCAGCTGGGCCAGCTAACACTTGCTCTGACCACCCTTTACCATTCCTGAGATGCAAAATGAGCTCGTTTATGATAGCCATGTGAGCACGCCATTGGTCATAGCTCATTCCTGATTCTTGCGAGCCACTTGTGAGCTATGACCACGAATTAACAGGACCAACTTGGAGAATGCGGATTGAACCTAAACAGGCGATATTCTTCATTCCAAAATGGTGTTTCTGTTGCGAGTGATTGACCGGTAGGGGAATCCCATGCCACGCTTGGAAAAAGTGGTAGAGGAATCCCATGGCCTCCCCATTGGAGATGGACATCGAAAGCAAGTTTCAGATTCGAAGATTTCTTAGCAGTTCAGAATGGGCCTATGGTTAACAAATTCCAAGTAGCCAGTCATTAATGTTGATACATGTTAATACATGTTGATACATGTTGATCATGTTTGGGTAGCTACCAGGGCTGGGGTAGTGAATATCATGAATCGAGAACCAAAGACTCCAAATCTCTAGCCGCTAGCCAAAAGTAATCAGAAGTAGATTGGCACCATTCGGCACCATAAGGCACCCATCAAAGCGGCTGCAGGTGGTGGCCAAGTGTATGTCAGGTATTACCTCTTGTTTGAGATACACCGGCCCCTTGAATGCGGACCTTCGAAAGCTTCAAACGAACTTGGTGCCCTTTAAGAACGCGCATTTCCTCATCAGCGGGTTGGCTCCGCTCACCGCGAAAGCTTCAGAAAAATATCGAAAGAGCAGTGCCTGGGTAGTAGCACTATCCACTTGGATTTTGTGGATACGCACTTAGATGTAGACGAAGGTCAACTACATATTAGCAGAGTTTTCTTTGTTTCTTTGGGCAAAGAGATGAGTAAACAAACATAAACAAACGATATCCTAGCCAAAGTCGTTAATTTCAAGAGATTTTTCCGACCAAGGTGTGCTTGACATTGCGCAGCAGATGTTCTCGAAAGACAACGTGACGGTGAAATGTGATCCATTGAATCCCGGAGACGACTATCACGGGATCCTCAAAGCCCGCTTTCTGGCTTCCTGGGCCTCGTGGAGAGGGAACTACCAGACCAAAGAAGTGGACAAGGTCAAGGGTGGTGATGAAAACCACCTGGTGAATAGAAAAGATACAGAAGGTGTGTTTGATTGAAATAAAACGAGCACCCCCATTTCCTCTTGTGGCCACACATTTGGGCCGCAAGCTTTTTCAACGCCCTGAGGTCTTGTACGACTTTCAGAAAGACGGATCCCGCTATGACAAGTTCTTTCCGGATTGGATCCCCAATTCGATTGCATCGAACATTTGCCAGCCCAAGGGTGGAGACAAACAGGACACGGGTACTGGTACGGTACAGTGCGGTGATTCGAAATGAGAGGATGAACTTGTACGCCACTTATGGCTATCCATTTGCTATCGAGGAGAAACATGTTTGAAATGGAGTTTGAATATTTCAAATTGCGGGTTATAGACAGTACACCAGGTACACCACCAGTTGCTGGGCATTACTAAGCGCCAAGAGCTCTCCGAGAATTTTGAGGGGCCAGGGCAAACCCTTCACAGGAGGGGTACAAAATACCACTCTGCACGTACATATATATTTTTTTTTGTATTGCCTTAACCCATTGGTAAACTGTCATGGTAAACACGGTAAACTGTTTGACAATTTCAGTCGCGACTTGGACTCACAAGGTTTTGGTCATTTGTTGTATATTTTGGTTACCAGAATTTGGGGTACCCATACCATTATAGGCAGGAATTGTATGGGATATATCGTTTATATATATATATATACCTTGCCAACATAGATTGTCTCCAGTCAGGGTAGAGTTCAAAGGGACATACGTAGAGCTCAAGTCATTTGTGTCCCTCCAACAATTTTGGCGCTTTTATTAGTACCAAACCGACAAGTCAATTTGCGGAGACCCGTGACCCTGATTACGATAGACTCTCCTTACGCCTCCCAGACACTTCCAATACGACAGGATTTCTGATGCACATTATGGTCTAGTGAAGGTCCCTAGGAATTCCATCAACCATACTAGTCTGCAAACCCCCAGGGCGTAATGCATGGCTCAACACCCACCTTCGGTTTCAAGTTCCAAGATGCTCTGAACCCAAAAGTCCTCCGCATGTGAAACTTGGTGAAACTTGGTGAAACCGGAATAGGAATTGGAATTGAGGCAGATCACTGGCCATGATGACTGGCAGGGTACATAAGCAAAGAAACCTCAATTACCCTCTGGTAATTTAACATAGCTATTGAAAATTGTCATTTATAGTTGATTTACTCTTTAAAAAGTTGGTGATTTTCCGTTATGTAAACGTTTACCAGACATGGCGAGATGATACTCTGGAGTCCATCGCAGGATTCGGTGGTCTTTACCTCCAACAACACGGCGGTCCACGAGGTCTTTGATCGATGTATCAAGGTTTGGGACAGCGTCTACAAGAGTCGCGCCTACGTTTTTGGGGCCTTAGCCCGGTTGGCTGATGAGTGGGCAATAGGGATTTTAAGCATCACACATCATCGAACTATGAGGATAATTATAAGTGGATAGAACTGATAAATGATGGTTGGTTGAGGATTAGTTCCAGGACTATACTAACCAATATACTGGGGATTATCACAAGCAATGGGGAATCCCGATCAACCAACATGTGTAAAGCGACGACAGAGGGTTTAGGTTTCACTGCTCACATGGATTTCGGTCCAAGAATAATCCGTTACTTTCATGGGATATCTATGAATCAACTGTGACGTTTCTCGGACCCAAATTAAATTTGGCACAAATCCACCTGCAGTCTCTCCTGGGGTGTTGTTGCATGCGCAAACACATGCAATTATTTATACTGTACATATCCCATCACATCCCATGATAATCTCATGAAATAACTACATCATATCCCATCTCATCATATGGAGGTTTCGTAAGGAATGGGAGTACCCCTGTTCATCATATCCATTTCAATAGGATTTTCTATTGTAAACACTATAAGTCCATAAATAGGGTAGCCCCACTTATGGAACCCCCCATATCCTACTAGAAGTTGTCAGCTTTTAGGACGATATTTGGCAATCTTTCACTCACCAAGGTTCACGTCTTCGAACAGGATGGCATCTCGGTGCATGATCTGGTGGAAAGCCGGCACGTGGTGCACTACATCTCTGATCAATACAAGAAACTGGGCCTGTGGTTTTTGAGAAAATATATCAGTTTTTTTTGTTTGAATATGGTTGATGAAGTATTGAACTTACTCAAACTTTAAACAAAGTAACGTTCATTCACATCTCTGTTTGTTTGTTCAAGTCCTGACAAAATGAGATGCAGCTGATGGTTGGTGATTTGTGTCCCCACTGATCCTCTCAGCAGATGGAGGACGATGAACCACAAAACTGGTCAATCCTTGGGAGTCGGTCATGTTTGAGCCACAGTTGAAGATTACATTTTTTAGACTTTAGGAATCTTTAGCATAATTTATCCAAGATCGTTTGTTGTTCGCCCCTTCAAGATTCATTAATAAAATGGGATGATGATGGATTTTTTTTGACATGCAGCCCTAGGAAGTTTGCGCGCTGGGAGGATAAGTTTTTTGAGCAGGACGCCGAATTGATGGGACGGTGATTTTCTGTTTTCGGCGGCTAAATCCACCACTGGAGGAAATCTACTGGGACTTTGGCTGGTGGTTTTCGTTCTTTTTTTCCGCACCATTCTACGATATTCTACGTAGGATGAATTTATCCCCGTTTACTGTCACAGTTTTCAACATGCGTAGACCAACCAGTTTTTGTGAGTTGGTACAATGCGGGATCATCCATATTTGTAGTTGCTAAACATTGGTCTCTTTGCGTATCCATATATACGTATATATATATATGTATATTCGGTTTATATGCATGCTGGTACTTGCAGGCACCTTCTGAGGTAGGTTTGGCGTGTTTAAATACTTTCCAGGATGGTGTTTGGCAGTCGCAGGATAAACAGGATACAAAAATGTCTGGATTTCTTTGGGTTTGTTTGCGCATGACCCAGAAATCTCATTGTCACTGGGATGGTTTAAAGGAAATGTAAGCCAGGAAAGCCATATGGGAAAATCCATGAAAATCCGGCGGTTTCCGGTTAAGATTTTTCGACCAATCCATTTCCATTAATTATTAATCCCCATGATTAACACATTTATAAACCATGATAAACCATGATAAACCCATCTTCTCACGATTTTAACATATTTTAACCATTGAATCTGGCCATGACTTGGCAACTGCGAGTCGACTGGCCTTGGGAAGCCAGTGATCCGGGACACGGCAGTGGAACATGACGAGCAGCTGCAAATTGCGACCGAGCTTAGGGAATTGATGGATGCTTGGGAATGCAATGAGGGTGTCTTAAGTCATGGGGGATCCCATGCTAAAACCATGCTTGTTTCAATCCTATTTTTGGTCTGACCTGGATGATTTGGGGGTACCCTAAATGGGTCCAGAAAGGCTGTGCCGATGGACCCAAGAATTTTTGCAAACTCAAAGATTTGAATGGGGGTGAGATATTTTGAGCTGAATAGGACCACAAGAAATCCCACATGTGTTTTGGAGAGATGTCATTTTTGGCCGTGTTTTTTTCGGGAGAGGACTGGCTCCAGCACCAGATAAACAGTGATGAAGTCGTGGTTGAAAAGTGGTTAACCCCCCCAAAAAAGGTCCTGCTTATATACGACATTTGGTTGGGATTGGCATTTGGCTGATGGTTTAACTTAATTTACTGTTTGTCGAAGGAAGTTTAGAAGTCAAACTTCCGACAATATGGACAGATGAAAAAGCAGAGGTGAGAAAAGTCAGAGAAGAGAAGAGTAGAAGAGAGAAGATCAGAGAAGAGAAAGAGTCAGAACAAAGAAGATGCAGGTGCGCGAAAAGGTAGAAAAGTCGCGAAACACTGTGTTTTGGTCCAAAAGTAGGCTCGCTAAAGCGGCGGGTGCGGAGCCATCTGGCCAGATAAGAGATGAAAAGTTGCACGCCGTTGTGGCACATTTGGAAGTCAAAATGCACAAAGCACACCAATGTCGGACCACTTTTGGAAGTTGAGATGTCGAAAAAGTGCACGCCGTTTTGGCGCGAAGCATATTTCGAAGTGAAAAGTGGAAAGAACTGAGGGTTTCGGAGCACTTTTAGACGTTCGGATGTCGTTTTGCGTGGCAGGCACGAGGGATTCTGCACCTCGCCAAATGTGAGCAAAACGTGAGGGCCAGGGGTTTGTAGCAATTTCAACTACAAACTCCGCTACACTACACTACAACTACAACTACAAGTACGATTACAACTACAACTACCACTACATTACACTACACTACACTGCACTACACTACACTAATTACACTACACTACACTCCACTTCACTTCACTACACTCAATTTTACTAAAGCTACAGCTACAGCTTCAGCTACAGCTTCAGCTGCACTACATTACACTACACTATACTAATGACATTACACTACACTAATTACATTACACTACACTAATTACGTTACACTACACCAATTAAGTTACACTACGCTACACTACACTACATTACACTACACTACACGACACTACACGACACTACACGACACTACACGGCACTAACTACAACTACAACTACAACTACATTACACAACACTATTCTACTCTACACTACACCACACCACACCACACTACACTACACTACGCTACACTGACTACAACTACAGCTACAACTACGCTGCTTTACACTACACTACACTAGACTACACTACACTACCCTGCACTCCACTACAGTACGCTCATTACAACACCACAAATGCAACTGCAACCACACTACACCAATTACACTACACCACAACTACAACTCCACTACACTACAACTACAACTACAGCTGCACTACACCACACTACATCCAGCAGTTGTGGGTGAGGCCCACTGCAACCATTGCATCCATTCCAACAAACACAACTCCAACCACATTTCAGTCCATCAGTGGATTCGCTCTGCCATCCGTGCTTCACAACAACATACAACAACCAACCTCTCCTATAGGTTTCCTACTTTTGAAACTTCCGCCACCGCCTTGTGCCATACTACTAGTAATGGTCATCCCATTTGGGATGATGATCCAAGCCGATTCATGCCCGTTTATGTGTTGAAACTTGTTGAACATCAGATCATTCATTCAAGATGGTATCCAAGTAAGTAGACCCCCAGTAGATTGGTTACAATGTTTGGAAGATTTCATATGATCGATGATGAACATTACTTCATTAATGTTTCTCCTTTTTTTAAAAATATTGTTGCTATAAATATATGTATAGAGCGAAAAATGTTTGGATTGCGTGACTACGATCTCATGATTTCACAGTTTGGTGGTCATAGATGACTGTGGCATGAATGCAGAACTGGTCGTACATAAACATCACCAGAGCCTGACCCCCTACTCCCCGCAACTGGTGGGTAGGGGGTTGGGGTTGGAGTTGGAGTTGTCTGTCCTATATTTGCCGGGAACAAGTACTAGGTATGTTATATTGGGAACTATGAGTTATATTATTTGTCAATGTATAGTACAGTACGTTTTTATGAGATCGTGAATATACTATGCAGATAGTAGATAGATAGCATATAGGCAGTAAGTAAAATTCGAGGTAGCGCACAGATATCCAGCTAGCGAATAGATAGGAGCAGGGCCACCAGCCATTGGGCGAGTGACACCGTTGGCCAGCCAAGGATGGTGAGATGTACATAAAGCAGGTGGATTCCACGCGTCAAGGATGACTGCGAGCAGTGGTGGTACCCCAAGAAATAGGATGAAACATTGAATGAATTCACAGAAAAACAAGACCAAACCTGGCTGGTGTTTTTAAACTATATTTCTCATGTCCACCAAAAAATTGACATGGTGATTCCAAACAGCATTCATATTCTGAAGATAGGCGGCATCCAAAAACCAGCGGCATCTCTTTATTTTCCCACTTGTTACATCTTGTTGCAGTATAAATGAAATTCTAAATGCCAAATCCGGAAAAATATCTAATGTTTCCTTTCAAGGATTTCTTCTTCATGTTCAATCCCAAAATCAGGAATGAACGATATGCCAAAATATACCTCAAGTAACTTGCAAACATACTAGGGGTACATGACCAGAAGATCGTGGGTGACCCACCAATCCGCGGTCTCTGCATGCGAATGGTGGACCTTCGGATTTGCCAATGAGCAGCCGGTTTCCCTACGACGCCAATGAGGGTGACGCCCGGCCGCGGGCAAAAGACATGCTGGCTGCGCCATGAATTGAGGATGAGAAGATTGGACATAGTTGAAGATATTTAGGTTTGTTTGAAAATGGGGGATACCTTGAAATGGCCATTTTGATACGGGAAAATGTCACATTTAGGGGGACCGTATTTTCCGACAAACATGTTTTGTTGCAGTTGCAGCACATCTACCACCGACGGGTTGGATTTCCAGAGGGTCGAGTTTCTCATATTGAAATCAGAATCCATTGAACCAGCAGACCAAATGAATTCACAAACAAAAAAATAACGCCAGCAAACAAATATGAAAAGTGCGGTTACTATAGACTACATATCGCTGAATATAGATATATCCAGGTCATAGTTAATGTGTATACATTATATAAAATGTTATGTGTATATATAATATAATATATAATATATATATACACCTGATTGGTGGTTGAGTGAACAGTCATTTGGAATCGTCCCATTTTGTGGGTCTACATCTGGATCCCTTGGTGCTACTGTCATCTCTGGGTCAACAGATGTTGTGTTTGATGCTGTTCTGGGTTTAGTGATTTCAGGGTGATTCTTCTGCAAAACCAAATCTCCATCCGAACACCAGACCTCCGAGGGTAAGCCAGGTATTTCCCCATGGTCACTGAGTTTCTTCCTGAAATCACCCCACAGATGGTCTGTCAAATTTGTTTGGCGGTGAGATTGCTACCTGGGACGTTCAGTTTGGCGGTGAAAGATCCAGAATGAATCATGACATGGAAGGCATAGTCATAGAGCCTCGATAAGGCCCCAGGTTCTGGGATTTAACAAGAGTTAACACCCTGCTCTAACTTGTTGATTTCAGTCTGAGTCGTCAGACTCAGGACCACCCAATGGGTAAATGGTGCATCATTATTGGTGTCGTGATTCCCTTAGTGGTTAGGGTATGTGTAAATGGGTTTGTTTGAATTTTGGGTACCCATTCCACTGGCTTGGAAGCTCATTTTCCATCATATTTCCAGTAAAATAGCGATAAAGGGAGGGGGATTGACTATTTTCAGACACACTTAACATCACTTAACTATGTTTGAGATAAGATAATTAGGACATTTCCCCACCCCGGCAGTTGTTTGTACTTGCCGCAGTCGCCGGTCATGAAACTGCTCCTGACAAGCATTGCGACAGCCTTCTGCGCGGTGGAAGAGGCGAGGGGACCAACATTTTGCCGAGGCTTGGTCGACTTACCATCCAGATTTTTTGTACCCCATTTGCCAAATGAATGGTATAAGTGTATACACTTCAGCCTGGATGATCAGTTAGGGGCTTAAACTGCCCAGTGATGCTTTGCTCTACAAATTGCATCCCACCAATATAAAAACCTTATGGGATCAACCCATGCCAGGTGTTAATCTACTAGTTCCCCTTAGACAATCTGGCAGAGATATGGAAAGTCAGCCGTTTTCCCGTAAAATTATCTTTACCAGGGCAAAAGTTGTGGATTTCCATATCTATGTTAGTCTACTGGAGGGTGGCTTGTGGCTCACATCGGTTGTTTTGAATCCTAGGAACCCCATGTTTGTCAAGAGGGCCATCGGTTGCTGTGACAGCCCTGTCGATTTTTTGCTTCGCGGCCTTTTCCTCAAATTAAAACAAAAACACAGCTCTTTCCCGGCACCAACTTCGGTGTTTTCTTGAATGAATTAGCTTAGACATAGATATTTATCCCAATCCGAACTGAACATATATTTATACATACTGCGTATATGCAGATACGTAGATTTGTTTGAAAGAGATAGAGTAACAGATAGACAGATAGATTAAACATATAGATTTGATACAATATGTACATAAAATATGTATATATATACATACATATTTCTGTACATATGCAGAAGGATACTTGTTTGTTTTTACATATGTATAGCTATAGTGTGTGTATGTATGTATTTAGACATACATACATACATACATACATACATACATACATACATACATACATATATATATTCACAGTATGTAGATATTTATACAGAAATGCACATAAATGAATACAAAAATCATGTTATATATATAGAGATATACATACTTAACAACTTATTAGCATATACTTACATATACTTACATATCTATGTGCATACACATATTTATCTATAGGTGGAATTATAGTCAGTAATAGTATATGTATATATCTATACAGAGACATCTACATATAGACATACGTGTACCTGTAAGTATACATACAGATATGTGCATTTATTCCTGTACATGTGCACACCTGCAGGTATTTAACTGTATATATATATATATATACATATATATATATACATGGATATATATATACATGGATTATATATATACACATATATATATACATATATATACATATATATATACACATACACACAGATATATATAATATATATATACTTATATACATATATATATGTATATATATATATATGCGGATTGTTATATATATATTTACATATATATGTATACATGGATATATATATATATATCTACATACACATCATACAGATGCGCATGCACTTGGCATCTCAGAGGACCCATCTCTGCCGCAGTCCCTGAGCAACATCGTGGGGATGCCGAGGGCAACCAGAGAGTCGGTTTCTTCGGTAGCCCAAGAATGGGGTAGATCCCCAAAACTCGCCATTTGTATAGAGGAACATGATAATAAGCCCTGATATGTGTTTAAAGACAAATCCAAGTCTCGAATTTACGATGGATGATATTTCGATATCCTGCAGCTTGTAATGTGGAAACCCAACAAACATCAACACGTCCCATATCCAAATCCTTTCATGATGGTCTATTTTACACCCCGAACTGCCCAATTAGAGATCTTTCTCAGCGGATTTACCACATTATGACAAGTCGGAAGACTGTCGAGTATAACAGCCAGTCCATCAGCGGCCCACAAGTGGGCTCAGAAACAAAAACCAACCATCTAGACCATAATCCAAATGAAATTCCCATCAATCTAAGTGGTCTGTTGACCAATCCGAAATCCCTTCCCCTTAAGCTGAAATCCCCTGCCAGCCGAATGGGACTCCCTTGAGACCTGGTCCTTGGCGACCCTGCGGATCGTGGACTACAAGGTGTTAGAAATGGCCAGGGGAACCCAGATTGCTTCACTGGGTCACCCAAAGGGTATTCAATCAGTTCTGACAGTTATCAAAAGAAAGGTAGATCCAGACTGTTCCACCAAGAGTTTTCTTTTTTTGAGGGCTGTTGTGTCTGTGTTGTGGAATGATTTGTTGTTTTCTCAACCTAAGCTGCTTGATGCTGTTGGGACTGTTCAGGGTTTTCATGTTGTTGCATGTTGTAGCCATACATGTGGATATGTATACATGTGTAGTAATAGTACATACTTGCAGGAAATCTACCAATAGGTTTCTGATAGCCTTTGTGTATGAACAGAGGAAAGGGATGAACAGGGATTACCGTTCTGTAAACCAACATAGATGTGGAAAAGCCATCATTTGTAGATCATTGTCCGAACGGGAAACCATGGCTTTTCCACCTCTGTGTTGGTTTACCCCAGGGTAATCCAACACAGGCGGTGTGGGGCAGCACCGGTAAATGAAAAGTGCCCTTGGGATCCTCTTGAGATCCGGGAAGGTAGGGTGCCGCGGGTCTCACCAGACAAATTCCGGGTGAGCTTTGTGACTTGTGAGGATTTGCCCAGAGTCTAAAACGATCAACAGATATTTTAGTGAAACAGTGGTTCCTAGCCCCCCAAAAGTGATGTTTAGAGAATTGTTTCATCATGCCATGCGACAGGTGCACATCACATAACCGTTCTTTTGGTTCAATACATCCTTTTGGATTGTCTTCAGAACCAGGATCATCAGTGTGAGTGTCAGCTGAACCATTATTTGTGGATTTGTCGCACCCAGTGCTGTGGAAATTCATGTTCCCCAATTTGTTTAAATTGCGAAGCAAAACTTGCAGGCCCAACAAAATTCATCCTTTACTGGCATGGCTAGATGATTTACGCAAGTGTTGTACAGCCCTCTACAGCCCTTGGGGGATTCTCAAGATGCGGGATCTCGAAACCCATGGGTTTCAATACTAAGTCATGGATAGTCATGGTCTAATGACTTGGATGATTTGTGGGTGCCCCCATGACTTAGGAAACCATCATATTAGGGATGATCAACTCATACAGCCTGAACTGCATCAGCTGGAGACCAAGAACGAAAGCTGACGATGATTCAACGGCAAAATCACCCCATTTGTTTCCATATATTCCATGTATGTGTCCATACGGTAGCAGAATATATTCCCCTTGTTTGGACTTTTTTTCGGGGGTATATGTTCTAATAGATTTGGTAGCCTGCTCCATGATCCTTGCAGGCTGGAACCTTGGCGATTGCAAATATGAAGGCGGCGGCTGATGGTTGATGGTCTGCTATGGTGAGCCAGATGTGAGCCAGAAATGGGCGGAACATGGCGGAACAACATCCAACCAGGAACCATATACCATCAAATACCCTGAGAATAGTCACCCAGAGTTCATTCAAAGGTGAAAGTGGTCTTCCAACCTGCAAGTATCCACAACTCATGGAAGGGTCTATGTTGGAGGGAGGGTATACGGAAGCATCAAAACTGGCAGCCTCAACCAAAAGAAGAGGGGGATTATTTGATTTGTGATTGTTGGAACACACAATTTTCCAATCCCTATCAACGAACCATAATGAACCACTAGAAGTGGGAATGACCGAAGGTGAACTGGCTACTGCTCGTTTGTGCAGTGCGAACCCTATGGCTATGTTTCACAGCTCACTATTGAAACTATCGAGTTGGACGAGAAACATCGCGGAAGGATATTATGTACGTATAAATAATTATAGATATATATATATACATGTAAACACACGGATATTATATATATACACATGTAAACACACGGATATTATATATATATTTTTATTTATTATTTATACATACACATAGTATATGTCGATGCATGTATGTATTATACGCACACAAAGATCATGTTCCATTGCTTGCAGCAATATTGTTATAAGTACCCAGTTGAAACGTAAACATGGATCAGTGACATCAAGAGTCACAGGATTTTGTCATTTGTGCCACCATTCTTTTGGCTTCCATTCCCATTTTTTGCTGGTCACAGTATGCAGAATGATTGATCCGTGATACATGTATATAATTCCAATCTTGAAGGGTTGTCAATCATTGGAATTCCAGTATAAAAGTGACAATGATTTAAGATTGTTGTATATCTTTAGATGCTAAGAAGATTTGACCCCAGGACAAACGATCTAACTGCAGTGTTATGAATGCGGGTTGATACTATCGGTCTTTCCAGGCCCTGGCATTTGGAATAACCAGTTGACCATACCAATGCTTCTTTGCTAGCCGCATGCAAATGTCCTTGAATTGGTTGAACCATGTTGAAGCCCCATTTATCAGAAGAAAATCTGTGATTTCAAAAACCATGTGCCTGGCATAAGACAATCACGATCAACAAGTCAAAGAAATTGAACATGGGGATGCTATATATATATACACACTATATATATTATATGTGTGTTATACAGTTATACATATATATATATATTATACATATTTCACGTATATATATATAATTATATATATATACACACCATACATATATCTATATATGTCTACATGTTATATATATATATATTCACATGTTATATATATATGATATATATATATATAACATGTGAATATATATATATATATCATAGACATAACATGTGAATATATATATATATATATGAATATCATGTATGATGTATGTACATATACATATATCATATATTTTTATACATCATGTATATATACATCATATATATATGGTGTATATATATATATATATCACACACGCACATATTTTTATATATATATATATATCATACAGTATCATGTATGTATATAAATGTATATATTATATCACATTCATATATATATATATATATCATATTTATATATACACATACATATGGATAATATATATATATATGTGTTCTGATAATCGAAGCTCCTTGTGGGTTGGTCCCGGTAACCGTGCAAATCATCATTGGTGATGTTGGTGATGCTTCACGGGTCAAGTAATATGTTCCAGTTCTAAGGGATTATGTTATACTGTATCACAATCAAATTACCGACTTCAAACTTCACAACCATGTTTACATATTCATCAGAGCCAACTATAGCCACCCAAAAGAACAGATATTTATTTTGGCGATTGATCAGTCTATTTACATAAATTTACTGTATCCCTAGATCCTTCTCAATTTCTCTGCAATTGCCATTGATACTGTATCATTTGGGTTTGTCTGAAAATGAGATACCTCAAAATCAAATGGTTTATTTAATTCATTTCATCATTTCCTATTGAAAAGGATTGTTTTCGGGGAGTACCCCATTTTTAGACACAGCCATTTGGATGATTGGCCTCTGGGTAACACGATTTCAAGGTCCCACGCATCCAAGCAATGCGGTAAAGCATGGTGACCCTTAAAACATCGGGATGAAACCATACTACCATCATGTGGTAGCCATCATTTGGGATAGCCAATACTAAACTTAATATATGACGATTGAGTGTGCTATTCCCATGCAATTACATACTTGGGATCAAGCTGTTGTATCCCCATTTTTTGCAGTCGATACGATGCAGTCCACCAGGACTTCAAAGCTTTCGAACTGGCCTCTTTACTCTGGTCCTTCGCAAAACTGGGCTGTGCCGACACCATGACACCTGCCAGGGAGCCCCAGTCCCCCCAGTCCGTTGATCGATGGTTTGATGGAAAACAAAATACATTGGGGACCAAGAAACTCTCATTCCCAGCCATATATATATATATACGTATATATATATATACACGTGTATATATATATACGTATTTATATATATACATATATACATATATATATACATATATATATACATATATATATATATACATATATATATATATACCATGGGTTCATATGTGCCATAGTCAAGACATGGTACACGGATATGTTCATCCAACATCATGAACGGAGTTCCGCAGCTAATGGGTTGAAGTTTACATAATCCCTTTCGAAAATGGTGGGATGACCATCCCCTCTCAGTATGCGAAATCAACCACGCAACTTGACATCTTCGGATCATCTAATGTGGATACAATGAAACCATAGTGCCATAGTACTGGGGGTTACATCAGTTGTATCCCAACTTCAACATAGCATCCAAAGCATCAACAGTTGCATCCAAAACCATGTCCCCCACCCAAATTTGACCACACCAATGGGGGATCTCACTGGATCTCCATGGATCCCCAGGTCGTGAGTCCTCTTTTTCGTGCCGCCACGGGTCGCTTGATGGCCTGTCTGAGCCTCGGAGGACTGGCAACCTTTGGACGCTGTAGGAGTGCCCCGGTTTTTTTTATTAAGGTGTAATCATGTGTTAAGGCTTAAGCTACACATATTTATACATCTATCTACCTATCTATCTATCTACCTATCTATCTATCTATCTATCTGCCTACCTATCTGTCTATCTATCTGTCTACCTATCTACCTATCTATCTATCTATCTACCTATCTATCTATCTATCTACCTATCTATCTATCTATCTACCTACCTATCTACCTATCTATCTATCTATCTACCTATCTATCTATCTATCTATCTACCTATCTATCTATCTATCTATCTGCCTACCTATCTATCTATCTATCTGCCTACCTATCTATCTGTCTATCTATCTGATATATATGTATTGTTTCATGTCTACATAGAGGATAGACTAACCATTTTTTCTGGATATTTAAGATTCGCAATGAGATGGAATATAAATGGGTGATATACTGGATCGAAATAGAGAGGGGGCCGTCGTGTTTTTTTGCTTCGCCATGGGAGGATTCTCGTCCTAGTCACAACATCTTTGGTTAATATGGGTAGATTAGCGTCAGTATTGTCGTTTGGTTAATACCAGTTACCAGATGATTATTGGTCACACAAAAATAAAACATAACACTTGAATATATCACAGTTTTTGAATAGCTTATTTACTGCAACAATTTTAAATACTCAACCATTCTTGAGGTGTTCCCATATCATTATATCGAGATATGAATTATTCATGATTAGGTTCTATATTCCATAGTTCATGTGATTATTGTTGTTTGTAGATTCTGTTTTCATCTTGCAGCATGGTTTGTAAGATTGTTACTACTGTTTCCAGATTATCAATAATGCTGCCATACGACCTCATTATGAACAATATCAACCATGTTGTCAATCATGTTATCAGATTATGAAGCATGAATTGATTCTCCCAAGGGTACTACTTAATTGCCAACCGATTTTACTGCAATATTACTACCAGGTTCATCACCTAATCACACGTTGTGTCTTTCAATTGATTATCCAAGATTATGTTAATACCCTCAACTATTAGACTACCATCAACTTAATCATCACCCAGTTAGCTATACCATTTTGATAGTTAACGTTTGATTACTATTTATCACCATGATTAATTACCAGTAATTATTATGATATGTTGGTGTCATATGTTGATGTTATGAATCTTCAGGATTACCAATCAGGTCGGTAAAATACCCAACAGTTAATCATCACAATTCCCAGTTGAACAACTATATCGCTTAATTTGATACTTAGTATCAGTTGATGATTTATCAGTATTTATCGGTAGGACCAGTGAAAATCAAAAGACAATTATGTCAATGTCAAGTTAATCATCATTAAACTTGGACACACAAAACAACTGGGATAAACAGCTAATTATCCCAGTCATATCCCAGTTGATCACTGTCCCAGTCTATTTATATATACCATTTGAAGATCACTTGAAGTTATGAAGGGCTGTATACATGAATATATACCAAACTAATCATATCATTGGAAAATATCCGTCCTAGTTGATCCTCCTTGAAGGTATGAATGGCGCCGGCTTCCGAAGCCTTGCCACTGCAGCCTGGGCCTTTGCCACAGCGCGACAGGTGCGTGGCACGAGCGGAGGGTACCATAGTAGTGCGATTGGCCCTGCTGAAATACACCAGGAAGTCTAAGATGGAAGCTAAACACATGGCAATGTTTTCGGAAAAATCAACTCTTCCAGTCCATTCAATATGGGGGTCCATCTGATTTCGAGGGTTCTAAGCAAGTTTGGCTGGGAAAATTACAATTCTGTACATGTGAGATATGTAGAACAAACATGGACAATCATCAGCCAGGTTTGATTACCCCAGGTTGGAATAATATAAGATTCAAGCACCATTGGGGATACAGCCAAAAGCCGAATAGGACCTTCAAGTTTTTCTGTGGTAAGCTAGAAAATCTCCGATTTCTACCCGGGATTTGCCCATGGATCCTTTTGAAGTTAGACCGTTTGACAAGATGCTGGGCAAGTTGGCAAAGTGTCCTAGTGTCCCGCACCGGCAGATGATTTCAACATATTTCAGCAATGGTTTTCGTGGGATTCCTATGTGGGATTCCGGCTAGCGCCCAACCACTCACGAGCTCAGCATTGCATTATAGACAATCAAGAAAAGGAGGTCTTCGTGGTGGATCGACCCCTTGTTATGATGTGGCGATATAATATTAATTATATGGTGATTTTATTAAAATGATTCAACGTAGCTATTGAAAATCACCATGTTTATATAATAGGTAAATAATCTATAAACGGGCAATTTTCAATAGCTATGTTAAATTACCAGAGGGTATATATAATATATACATATATACATATATGCAGAGTTCTCTTCCCAACAATTATTCCTTATATCCTCACAGAGGTACAAAATAGACACACCAACCAGATATCCCCCAAGTCTCCTTACATCTCCTGTATCGCAGATGGGGATGGACAAAAAACGTATACCACCCGAATGGATGGCTTCGTGTCCCAAGAATGACCCGATTCACCTTTGGGAGGGCTCGGTCAAGCACAGATCGTGGTCAAATGACCAGATAGTTTATCTCCCAAAATCGGTTGAAGGGAAAATCTGCAGGAAACGCCAATATGTGGGACATGAAAAGCCATGGTTTCAGTTTCAGGTTAAGATGTTCCCTTCAACCGCCATAAATCTCTTCCCAAACAGCCGCATCCAGGCAAGTCAACGGCTCTTCCGTGCCATTGCCAAGGAGGTGCAAACCTGTTTGCCAAGCGCAAACAGCCAGGAGCCATGGGGAAGTCATCCCGCTTGACGGCCATAAACAATGGAACTTAGGGGGTACAGGTCGCCAATTTTCAGATAGGTCAATGCTGAATGCAGGAGCAGATAGAATATGCTCCAACTTCCATTATTGTGTATGCATGCAATTTATTTTCCAAGGAAGAAGCTTGCTGTCTCACATCGGGCCATGATTCAGTCAGTCACCAATGTTTTCCTTCGAGCGAACTGACATAGACCCAAAGCACAGCAGTCGTTGATCACTTGATACATCTCCTTACGGGGTCAGTATCAGAGAATGGCTGATTACTGGGCTGTTTGAAAGAGCTATAACTATTATAAATGATGCACATGTCTTCCAGTTTCAACTAGCTTGCAGCCGGACAGGAGCTGGCAAACATCGTTTGGGCTTATGGCATCTGGGCGCATTTATGCCCAAGAGACCACACATGTTGCATTTCAATGACTCGACCCCATTTTAAGGTGCACTAGATTTCCTGAACCTACAACCAGTGGCTGTTATACCCAGCAAAATCACTATCTTCTGAAAGGTTTTCAGATATCTTCGGGAAATTGATGATACACAAGTATATATGTATATTAATTAGGTATGTATATAGATATATACACATTCACATGTGTATATATATATATATGTAGATATAGATTGATATAGATGTCCAGTTGGTCATCAGGGATCACATATGATCACATCTACGACATTCTCAAGGACTAGGACTCCCATTCACATTTACTTGTGTTGATTTTCAGGTCTTGGGAGATTCCACCAACAGGCTGAACTTGCCGAGTAACCAGCTGGAATATCGTTGGTACCATTTCAGGATACAGGTAGGATCATTCCTGTACTACAGGAAAATCCTTTTTAGAAACACATTCTAAATAGGTTTATTTTCATAGATACAACTGTAGAAATCTCCACAAAGCCAGCAGTTCGCCTGGTGAATGTGTCAAAAAATGGGTCAATTATGGCTTACATATCCTCATTCATATACACTTATCACTTATCACTGTTTTTTCCAATATTGATTTGATTGAACATTTATATGCATTCATTTAGATATTTATCATTTATTTCATAATTTACATCCATTCATCCTCACCATTTGTCATATGTTATCCATCTCTACAAGGTGGTGCCCCATAATTAGTCAGCTAAGTTGCTTTATAACTTCAATTTCACTATGGTTTATGGTAGATATATCTATACCTGGGTGGTGGTTTGGAACATTTTTTTTCCATATATTGGAAATATTGGGAATAATCATCCCAACAGACTTTCATATTTTTCAGAGGGGTGGCTCAACCACCAACCAGTAATTGTATGTAATTGTCTATAATGATAAGACACCCATAGTAATTTATAAACCATTCAGAGGGGTGGCTCAACCACCCACCAGTATACTTACTATGGTTTATAAACCAACTCATAATGGGGGGGACACTTTGCAGGTACTGTGGGCCATCGGGACGACCAACTCTTCCGCATCATCGCGGAGGCGTTGGGACCGTTGGGATGGGGGCGTTGGTTTATATGACCTGAAGCTTTTGGTGATTTTGAAGATCACCAACAGCAAGTTGCTTGGAGATGTTTAGAGATCACATTTCTCAATAGTTGGGTGATGTTGTCGGATATTTAGCCTTGAAATATGATACGGGATCCCCAATGGCTGCTGATGGTTGGGAAGCCCAAGAAAATCTTATTTAATCCCCCATGTTTGATCGTTTACAAAATGCCACTCATTTGGTGTTACAAAATGCCTGCTCCCAGTACCTTCTCATATGTGTGATTTGGGAACAACCAAGTTGCATAGAAAAGTTGGAAAGCGGGGAATTAATGATGCCGGAACCTGCACAACAGTCTGGAAATACATACGGTTCTATTTTTTTTTGGGGGGGCTCCTGCGAACTGTTTATTTACTGTAACAGCCTTCGGCATTCCGCCGGCCCTCTGGCCTTTGGCCTACAGGCCCAAAGCAAGGGTTATGTAAAGCTGGTTGGTGGAAAAGGTTGGTTTCGTGATGATGATGATGATGAGGATGATGAGGATGACGAGGATGATGAGGATGATGAGGATGACGAGGATGACGAGGATGAAATCGGATGATGCTGATGATGAGGCTGATGATGATGAAGAGGAGGAGGAGGAGGAGGCGGAGGAGGATGACGATGACCATGACCACCGAGGATGATGTGATGATGTAAATAAATGTAAATAGGGTGAGTGCTAGTTCCTTGAGAAAAGAGACGAGACTAGACCAGACGAAACGAGACTAGACCAGACGAAACTAGACTAGACTATACTAGACTACAGTAAGTATACTAGACTATAGCCCAAGCAAAAACTCGTCGAAGAGATGATTTCAGGAATAGCTAGCAATAGCTACAACCTAAACCTATAGCCATAGGTACAAGGTTTCAACCTAAGGCTATAGCAATTTCTACAACTAGATCTCAGCTTCAACCTATAGCTATAGGTACAAGTAGGTGTCAACCTAAAACTAGAGCTAGAACTAGATTTCGACCTAAAGCTAGAACAAGGTCAAGCCATTGCTGGAGCTAGGGCTAGGCTAAAATCTAAAGCAAGGTACTGCTGTAGCTAGGACAAGAACTCGAATTCAACCTAGAACAAGATCAGACTATAACTCTACAATTGGAACTAGAACTCAATCTCAAGCCAGAACACTTTAAAGGTAGGGAGCTATTTCTATAAGAAACTGCAGAAGAAATTGAAGTTATAACAGAAGCGAAGCCAGGAGATACCGTAGAACTGGGGCCTAACCGAAGGTGTACCAAGCCTCAAAATGAAAGGCTATACCCAGCCGGAGCAACGCAAGATGTGTCACAAGATCCACAAAACACGCCGGCAGGCCGGCGGACTCGTGCAGGTATTTTTCTTTGTGAGTCTCTCACTTTTGACATTTGACCATGTCACCAGGACAATCGTTTTGAGAACTGGGATTGCACCCCTTCCAGATACTTTCAGATGACTTCGGTATCCATTTCTGTCGGTGCATGTACAGGTCTCTATGCAGTTCTAGACATGCGGTACACATTTGTTGAATGCAAAAAGCTTCTGTTCTTGGCTCACGTATTAGTATTGCTCTAGGTCCAAACTATTTGCACTTCAAACGCGTGGTCAAGCAGTGAAAATAGTGATGAAGCATGATGAAGCAAAGTAACTATGCATTAGAAAGATTCTACCATCCCAGCCATCGTCCCCCAAAATCACCATGGATTTATGGCTCATCAATCCATATGACAGGAGTGCGTTCGGCGCCTCGATGAGTTCAAAACCCAGGAGAGATGGACGTCGTGGTGCCTGTTACCCGTGTTCCGGTAAAAAGTGCTGGAATCTGGGGATGATTATATGGGGTAAACCACCATTTTTTGGGCTACTTGGTCTAGGTAATTCTAGGTACAGTATATATATATATATTCATATACAAAGAAAAGTATCGGAACTAGATATGTAGACTTTATCTTAAGCATAGATGCAACACATTCCAAACCGATTGAAGTTGAAATCGGAGTTTTCCTGGGATCACAATGGCATCATTGATGTTTACCAACATCGGATGAGTGTTTTTTTGGATAAACATGCATATTCCATGCTTGCAGCATATCATCAGACTTTTGTACCCACTTTAGTAACCAACCAATCCCAACTCCCAGAATCATTTCAGCTTGTGCAAGCTGAGTTGCCAGGAGTTCAAGGAATTCTTGAGATTAATGTGCAAGGTTGACACAACTTCCGCTGATGGCGATGTTTCCCTTTTTTTGGCTTCATTCCATCTAGACTCTGGGAAGCTATGGATCATCCCCATGATTTATGATGAAAACACCAAAGGTCTTCAAACTGGTAGGCATGCAAAGATTCTCCTTTTATTTGTTTATTTTGGTCAATAAATCCATTGGTTCTCAACCAGTTAATATTATTTTTGGACGCCGCCCCAAGGATCTGCGCCACTGAATGAAGAATTTGCTAGAAAATGATTGCAATGTGGCAATGTGGCAATCCCAATAGAAACCCTCCAAATTTGGAATGGTTTATACCATCCATTTATTGTAAATCGTATTGGGTTTACTTGACATAGATAAGGCATTTAACTATATGCAACTGATTTAATCCCGGTTAACTAATAGCAGATACAGCCACCTGGTTGCACGTAGAGGTTCTTGATAGATTTATACATACAAACAAATATAGAATACAAGTGTACATATTATATTATATATATAGCTCATATATACATGTGTCATTGTGTATATATATATATGTATATATATATATATATCTACAGTGACATATATATATACATAATATTTGCATACATATGCATACGTGTGCTGTTTGTTTGCAGGGGACCTTTTTTGTTCACCATGAACCAGCCTACTTAGAGATCCTTAGAGATTTTCTTGTGGAAGTCGCTGTGGGTGTTCCAGGAGCTCTCCAACACCTTCTGGGGCTTCGCCAGCAACGACTTTCACCATGAGGCATGGTTCGTAGTACTAGCACCTTGTGGGCTGGGAACCGAGCTGTTGCTGTTGCTGTTGTTGTTGTTGTCGTTGTTGCTGTCGTCGTGGTGGTGGTCGTCGTCGTCGTGGTGGTTGTGGTAGTTGTGGTGGTTGTGGTGGTTGTGGTGGTTGTTGTGGTTGTTGTGGTTGTTGTGGTTGTTGTGGTTGTTGTAGTTGTTGTGGTTGTTGTGGTTGTTGCGGTTGTTGTGGTTGTTGTTGTTGTGGTTGTTGTGGTTGTTGTTGTTGTTGTCGTCCTTCTTCTTCTTCTTCTTTGGGGCGGCAAAAAAGCAAGGGAGAAAAACAACATCCATCATAGATACGGCTAACTGCTCGACAACTCTGCTTCAAGTCTTATTGTCTCTGGGATAAACCTTGGATATCGAGGACTTTGTAACATTGTGTAACCACGGTGATAAGCAGCTCAGAATTATGAACTACACATTCAAGTAGTGGTGCCGTCTCCTTGGCCAGCAGTCTCAACACATTTGTCGTTGCTGT